TGGTCCAAGATATAGACCGTCAGTTGGATAAATGCTTGTCTGCTTATCTTCATCTGTATAATTAACCACAAACTTGAATTCATGGTCAAAAATATTTTTGGTCAGCTTGGTCATCTCTTCTTTTTGTTGTTTGGACTGTATGCTTCCAATCGTTAGTGGTCTAATACTTGGAATTTTGCCTATTATAGGCATTTGCTTCTGTGCTGCTGTAGCCGGTGATTGTGCTTTTCCCGCATAGCTTATTTTGAACTGTGCTAGCGCTTCTTTTGCTTCGAACAGGCTAGAAAATTTTTTATGTATAACATTCTGTCCTGTTATAAACATGGCTGCTTGACTCCATTGGGAAAATATCCCTTGATTAGGACCTGTAAATATTACATAATGGTTCTTTGTTCTTTCTTCCTCATCAAAATGAGGTCTTTCTTTTTCTTCATTTATTTCTTTTTCTTTTGATGTTTCTGCATTTTCATTTTTCTTTTCTTCTTTGCCTTTTTCTTCAAATAGTATGGCTTTTATCTTGCTGGTTTCTTTTTCTTTTTTCTTTATCTGCTCAAACAGCTCTTCTACCTGCTTTTCCAGCATTTTTAGACTATCTTCTAAGACTGGTTTGAGTGCTTCCATTCTCGGGTTAATGTATCTGCTAAATAGTTTTCTTTTCCTGAAATATATACAGATATGTAATCAAATTGTTGTGCTTTCAAACTCCATCTTAAAAGTCTACCTTTGTTGTAAGATTCTTTTATTTGATATTTTGTACAATCTTTTGTATACAAACTATCTGTTTGAAAAATAAATTTAACTGGTTGTAAATCAAGTTTAAATTTTTCCAAAGCATTTATAAAAGCTAATGTTTCTTTTTCATGTGTTGTATAGTTGCGTTCTGCTTGCTTAAACGTTCCTGATACCCATTTGGATAACAGTAATTGCTTTCCATTGGTTTTTCCCAATACTAATTGCATAGAATCATTAGATTCACTATTTTCATCCAAACTATCTTTAGTCATCCTTCGTATAACGGATTTAACTTCAGATGGTTTGTTGTTTGCGATAAACTTATTAAACTCTTCATATGCATCTGGAATTGCTTGAAGGACTGCTCCCCAAGTATCCTGACTTGCATCAGTGTTTAAAATAAGTAAATCACTAGGTTTTGGTAGGTAAAGCCGTAGTAATTGAGTACATAGTCTTTTTAAGGACTGTACTGCTCTAGTTGCATTGTCTGTCCATTTCCATGGTACTTTTTCTGAAATCATTTTTTGTAGTAACTCTCTTTCTTTTGCAAGACTTTTTATAAAACCTTTTTCTCCAATATATGTTAAACATCCAAGAAATTTTTGAATTTGATTTCTATTTTGAAGCTGATCTGAAAACTGATGTATTTTTTCAAGTAAATGTTTTTGAGGTTCAATATAGCCTCCCTCGACTATTTTCATTCCCAAAAATTCTGTTTCTCTTTTGCAAATTTTTGCTTTTTCCTTACTTAAAATAATTCCTTTATTACCTAACTGTAATAAAACTTTTGCAAGTTCTTTTAAATGGTCTTCTTTCGATCCTTGTGTAAAAACAATTATATCATCTATATAAGCAAGACTTATTGACTCTAATCCTTTAAGGTTATTATCCATAAATCGCTGATATATACTAGGTGCTTGTTTAAGTCCAAATGGCATTACATTATATTCGTAGTGGTTTTGAGGTGGACAACTAAATGCTGTTAATGGTTTAGTTTCTTCATGTAACCTTAATTGCCAATATCCTGATTTAGCATCTAATGTACTATACCAATTTGCCTTTTTAATTCGACTAAAAATATAATCTTGTCTTGGCAACTTATATGCATCTCCTTTAGTAGCTTTATTCATTTCTTTGTAATTTATAACCATTCTTCGTTTTCCTCTTTTTAATTCATTATGGTTTTCTACGTAAAATGCTGGTGCACTATGTGGGCTTTTACTATGTTGTATAATACCATTTTCTAACATCTTAGTAGTTTCTTCTTGAAATTCTTTAACATCTCTTTCTGTATATGGTATTCTATTTGGCACGTTGACTTCTTTGCTAGGATCTATAAGTTCTATTTTTACTATCATGTTATTCGTGTTTTTATTTGGATCTAATGGATTTTGACTACATATATTTTCTAAAAGTTGATTAACATGTTCTTCTAGTGTTATACTTATTACTTTATGAATTTGAAATGAAACTTTTCTTAATATCTCCCCCCTTATGAAAGAAGATGTATTATATATTTTTGTAGTAATTATTTTACTAGACTGTGTATCTAGTTGTGGACATCTAAGACTTATAGTATTTAGTCTTTGAATAAATGGACTGTATAACTTAAGAAAGTTATTTCCAATTATTAATGGTAATCCTGTATTCTGTTTATAAAGACTTGGTAAAGGAAACCGTTTTTCCTCTATTAACAATACTAAGTCTGTTGCTCTATAATCAATACTTATTGTTTTATTATTTGCAATTCTTACTATAATTGGTTTATCTAATTTCTTCCAATATTTACTAGGTAATATAGATTCTTTTGCTAAACATATTGTTGCTCCTGTATCTATATATGCTAGTAGAAATTTAGTAAATAATTTAACTTTTATGAATGAACTGTTTTTACTCATCTTCTGATTCAGATGTTTCTGAATTACTATCTGTTTCTGATTCTAAATCATATATATCAAAGTCTAATAGTTCTCCTTCTTCGTATTCTTCTTCTATAGGTTCATAACCTAAAGAAAATATCATTTTTAATTTCTTTTCTTTTTCTGGCATATTTTTAGGACATTCATTTGCATAGTGCCCTATTTCTTGACATTTCCAACATCTACAATTCTTTTTACCTTTAGGACAATATTTAGGTTTTCCTAAGTATTTTCCTTGTTTTCTAAACTTTCCTTTATATTTTGTTTTCCACGGTTTTCTAAATGTCTTATATCTTCTTGGTCTATATCGTCTATTAAACTTATTGTATCTATAATATTTTTTCTTTTTGTATGGGTTATAACAACCAAATTCCTGCGGTACACTTTCTAATTGTTTGCAACATCTTGAATCGATTTTTGTCATTTCATGGTGTTCTAATTTTCTTATACAAAGTTCATCTCTATATTCTTTTGCATATTTTTCTAAAATTCCTAGAGTTTTTTCTTCTTTTGTTTCACTAATTTTCTTCTGTATGTATTTATTCATTTCATTTTTAAGCTTACTTTCAACTATTTCTATTAGTCCTGATCGATCTTTAATTTTATAGAAATTCTCTCTTACTTGACAGAAAAAATTTTCTATGTAGCATATATTACATAGCTTCATATTTGTTAAAAATCTAACAACCTTATCTTTTTGTGTTTCTTTTGATTCTTGTCCTGTAATTCCTAAAAATTCTTTCAATAAATCTTTTGCTAATTCTTTTAAGGCTGATATTTTATATTCTGCTCCTGTTTCTGAACCACTGGCTTCAAGATTTAATAAAATTTGAGTATTTTCTAGATAATCAAATAATACTCCAGATGTTTTATATCTTATATAATTAGCAAAGTCGATTAATGTCATTCCATTTATCATTGAGTCATTAGTTTGAACTAATAATTTTAATTGATTAGTCCAAGTAACTATTAAATCTTCTGCATTAGTTGCACAATCTATATTTAATATTCCATTAGATAAATTTCTTTCTTTTTCTAAATATGCTGGTGGAATATTTTTCTTTATTCTTTCTTGATGATAACTATAATCATTTCTATATATAAAATCTCTAAAACTACTTTCTACATAATTATTATGTGAAGTAGATGCTTCATTATTATTTGTTCTAGATCGTTTTGGTGATAGTGGCGGTGTTGCATAAGGTTTTTGATCAGTCATATTAAATGTTGGCTCATCTTCATTTTCACTATCTATTCCATAAATTATTCCTTGTTTATCCTCATCATCTATTTTTGCCATTCTAGTTTCTTCAATATTGCATTTTTCTAATAACTGAGTTAACCTATCTATATCATCCATTAGAACTTGTTGGTGGTTCTATCTGAATAGGCTTAAATACTTTTTTCCGTGTTTTTTCTTTTTGTACTAAATCTTGTAATTCTCTTATTGTTTCTTTTATTTCGTTTAATTTTTCAAATGTTTCTAATTGGTTCTTTTTTACTATTTCTATAAGTGCTTCTATTTGTTCCGAGACTTTTGGTGGATTACTCATAGTACCATATTTTTTCTAATAGCTATTTTCTTTTTTATTTTCATTAGCTATTGTTATGTTGATTTTGCTTTTAGCAAATTGTTGTGTGGAGATAGCAAAAAGGTTGCCATTTGGCCATATTTTATTGGCCCTTGCACAAAATGGGCACCACCCGCGCGGGTGGCGTCGACTAAATGGTATTCAAGCTGGGGGAGATCGACATAATACCCGTGGGCCCTTTACGAGTCTGGAGCTGAGTGGGTATGGGCCATAAGCTTTGATCCGACTAATCCGTTTGCCGACCCGAGTCGCACACTTGGCAATGATGGGTAAGTCTCCCAAAAAAGATTTTATGCATCCACAAGAACTCGAAATCAAGACCTTGCTTAAGCGGCGTCAAACTGCTTACCACTTGAGTCAACTTTGTTCGTAATTAGTAACAAATTTTGATTGAGAATAGATAATTGTTGTTATGATTTTAAAATTTATAGCTTAGAGTGAATATATGATTGGACTTATAAAAAAAAACAAAAAGTATCAGATATGTTGACTAATGTTGAAAATTAAAATGTTATGGTGAAAATTAAATCTCACATCAACGTAATAAAATTTTCGTTCAAATATTTATTTGTTGAGATATGATGGAATAATAGGATGATGAAATATCAAGGAAACCAATTGAAAATCCTTATCACAACAATTTTCTTTAGAAAATAATTTCTTTACAAGCGTGATTTTGGTAACTGAATCAATCTGATATGTTATATCGTCTCTCGCGCTGGACTCTGAACTCCCGATCATTTCTTTCCCAACATTCATGGCCGCCGCCCCGATCGACCGGCTCAGCGCCTTACCCGACGACATCCTCTCTCAGATTCTCTTTCTTCTTCCGACCAAAGGCTCCGTCTCGACCAGCACGCTCGCCACAAGATGGCGGCATTTATGGGCGCACGCCCCTAACCTCGAATTCGAGGATACATTCAGTGAAAATTTTAAAACCCTTATGTCCCAGTGCGCAGCCCATAACAGCGCCGTCACGCTCCGCCTGTTTGTAACGTCTCGCGCACATTCCAAGAAATTCAAGAGTATCAACACCGCCATCGCAAGCAACCCAAAAGCCCTCGATCTCTCTTTCGGCTATGACGGCAGAGTGATACCTCTGTCCGTGTTCACCTCCAAGACTCTGGTCGATTTAAGGCTCGTACGCTGCAGAACTGAAATTAGAAAGAATGAAGCCACCACGCGCCTGCCCGCCCTCAAGAGGCTTCATCTCGAGCGCGTGACTCTCGACGAATCCCTTGAAAAAGTGCTCTCCGGATGTCCAGTGCTGGAGGAGTTGACTATCAAACAAAATTTGCCTCTTTGCAAAATTCGAAGACAGGACGGGACCCCAATCTGTTTGCCTGCCCTCAAGAGGCTCCATCTCGAGTGCGTGGAGCTCGGTGACTCTTTTATGAACCTGATTTATGGTTGTCCGGGCCTTGAGGAGCTTACTGTTCGGAAAAATCTACCCAACTCCGTAAATGATAAGTCCATAATAATGTGTTTGCCTGCCCTCAAGAGGCTTCGTCTCGAGTGTGTGGAGCTCTGTGGTGGCTCCCTAGAAAGCCTGCATATTTACTGTCCGATGGTTAGCGTGTTGGCTATTGAAGGAAATATACTGTCTAACATGTTCACTTACGAAACCATAGTTGATTTGACGGTTGCTTCTCGCAAAGTTAAAATAAGGGAGGGGGACATAAGCTTGCCTTCCCTAAAGATGCTTCATCTCAAGGACATTGAGCTTGCCGGCTCCCTTAAAGAGCTTCTTTTCGGTTGTCCTGTGCTTGAGGAGTTCACTATCAGAGGATATTTTCGGGATTTTCATCAAAATGGTGTTTGCTGTTGTATTTCTTCTCCCATAATTAAGAGGCTTGTGCTCACTTGTAGGACTCCTTACCCGTTGTGCGTAGATACTCCTTCTCTTGAATACGTTCGTTTACTCTGTTTCAGGCCTGTGAATTTTTTGGCTGGGATTCCGGCTTCCCTGATTGAAGCGGATATTGCTCTTGATTGTGCGCAAGTACACGTGGCCGCGCTCTCTAATGTGAAATACTTGACGTTCAAAAGTAATTGGGTGAGGGTAAGTTGTTGTGTTCTTGCTTCTCATTCTCTTATTTGTCTAGTATTTTTGGTTATATAATATTTGGTTTGATATCTTTTTTTTTTGGGCAGGTTTTCCACTCAATGACGGCTAATTTGAATCTAAAGTTTAACAATTTAACCAAACTCGAAGTGGTTGCTAATATGTATGTGGTCGCATATTTCCTTAAAAAGGCTGATTATCTTGAATTCCTTATCCTTCGTGGGGTACGTTTTGGACATCAGGTTGGTAGATATCGTAAAGAGTGGATGGAGCTCCTCCAAGTGCCTAACTGCCTATCGACACACCTTAGAATTGTAGAAATTTATGGATTAGGCTATACAGAGCATGAGCTTGGCATGGTCAGATATATCTTGAAGAATGCTAAAGTCCTGGAGCGTATGAAACTACACTTCTTTGAACGTCCGGACAAGAAAGCTTCTCGTTTGATCGAGGATCTAAGGCATGCATGTGAGCTTGTATTCGATTGATGTTATGTGGGATCGGATTATCTTAATTTTCAGACATTTTCTACGTATTTATTAACTTGTATTGTTGATATTCTGCAGTTGTTTTCATTTAAAACTGTTGATTTGCTTTATATCTTTTGAATCATTCGCTTGAGATGTTTATTGTATGCCTTGGTAGTTGATATTCCCACGTTTTGTTTCTGCTTCCATTTGAGGTTATTTGAAGTGTGCAATCAGTCTCCTACAGTACTCGCTGCTCTAACTAATTGTCCACCTTTTCCAAGTGTGATTTCTATGTTATGTATGGCCGTGCCTAAGGGCATATCGGTTGAAGTAGACTAGTGTATATCCCGTGCGATGCACGTAGGAGCTCATATTTTAAACTTTTTTTAGGCTTTATTTTAAATATAATTACTTATATTTTTCACATCTCGTCTATTATAAAAATAAAATAAATACAAACAATGAAAAAATATTTTATTAAACACTTCTCTTTATACAATATTTTTTTAAGTAATATTATTAAACCTTACGGTTTTGATTTTATATTTTTTAAAAGTCAATTATCTCCATAAGAATAATCATACCATTTTAATTTTAAAAAAGGCATTGGTCTATGGTCGATTTTGAAACCAAAAAAAAAATTGAGATTTCTACTTGGTAAGTGCTCCAAGATCGGGTCTGGGTGCCTTTCTTCTAGTCTTCAAGGCTCTTTATTTTGGAGGCGTATATGATAGACCGTGACTGATCCTGAAAAAGAATAAATAGCATGTCGTATCACATTGGGGATCTTAGTGGGTTTATTCCATCTTAGCGTCCGTCGTGATCAAGAATTTCGATATTTGGGAACTCTCATGATCATCTAGCGAATTTGAATCATTTTTTATTCTTGCTCTTCCGAAATGATTCTTAAAATGAAAAAAATCAGGTTTGGGAAGCAATAATTGTAAAAGTAAACAAAATTCCGCCACCATATGGCTTCTGCTAATTTTCTAAATTCAACTCAATTAATCCAATTTTTAAATTGAGTCAAAGAATTGCATTTCTCAAGCATTTTTTTTTTTTAAACCACCCCGGAGGGTGGGGGTTTAGGCCAGACCCCCAACTTGTATATATAAAAGCCCTAAATGGGCTGAAAGTCACATCTACAAGTCCAATATCGGAAATACAACAAGTCAAAAGAAAACGGAAAACCAAAAACAAAAAAAAACAACAATATAGAGTTGGCAATAACTGCCAGTAACATAACTATATCGTCTCCGGGTCCGGGAAGAGTCCAGGCAAAAGAGTCAGTGTCACGGGAGGGCGGGTGCACCAAGTGGTAAGACCGGCTATCCAAATCTGAATGAAGGTTATCCCATCTGGTCCATACGTATAAGAGTGTGGAGGCGAAGAGGAATATCGTAAGGATAAAGAATACGTCTCTGGGGGTGGAGGACTCGATGCCTGCGAGGAAGTCAGCAGGACGGTTCCCCTCACGAAAGATTTGCGAGATCTGAAAGCGAATCGACCGAAGTGTGGCCCTGATACGCATGAACAGATGCATTTCTAAGGCATTTTACTTGTAAAGAATTTTGACTGGAAAAGAAATCCTAATAGCACAATAAACTATAGATAAAAAAAAAACAAATGAGAAAAGGGGGACAGGAAAGTCGTGTGATATGAGTCATTTGAGGAAGCAGGATTTTAAGCAGAGAAGAGGTGAACAGGTGAACGTGGTTCGGTAGAGCAAAACACACAGAACTGGAGTTGGAATTTGGCAGAGCAGCACGAACATAACTGACTCGTGCAGGCAGAGCAGCACGAACATAACTGACTCATGCAGGCAGAGAAGAGACTGTCAAGAACATGATTGTATGGTCAAGAACCAACGCAGTCAAGAACATTATCAACACTAGGCGAGCGTGAAAATCATGAATGTTCATGAAGTTTAAGTTGTAATTTACAACAAAAACAATACTATATATTGTGAATCCCAAAAACACGTATAATATAGGTTGAGACCAATGTTTTACTCGTTAAATAGATTAAGGTTGTTATTTTTGCGAATCAACGTTGTTTCTGGCCCGTGGCTTATAGCAAGAGTTTAGATTGTTGAAGCCTTTTTCTTTTTTAAACTTGAACAAAGGTGCTGCGTGGTCGCGTTAGATACTTAGATTGTATATATAATAAAACAGAAATAAATATTATTAAGGTTACTGTTTATTAATAATACCACGTGATTATTATATAATAGTGTACTTTTAAAAACAATAAAGATCATTTAAATTATGTGTAAAAGTTGATTCGAGCCTCATGTGTTGCGAAATTGAGATGGACAGGGCCGCCGTTCCGAAGTTCATTCCACAGTGAGGAGGTGTGATGAATTTCGAGTCTTGTTGTATGCTGTTCAGGGAAGATTCTTCCAATGCCCTCTTTGATTGAAGCAGATACTTGACCCTGATTGTATAAAGCTGACAATGAGCTTTATTATGTGGCTTGGTTATTCTCTAATGTAAAATACCTTAAATTGCCTGAATTTTTTTTTTTTTGTGTTTCATGGTCACTTGTAATGATGTTTCAAAATGCTGGCTGGAGCTTCTCCAAGAGCCAGCTGAAAGTCTATCGGCTAATTTGATTGTAAATTTTTGCCACTTAACCAACCTTTGAACTCTTTGCTCGATGGGGTTTCCCGTTTTCTCATATATTTCTCTGAAGAGACTACAAGAAAACGATGAAATTCCAACGAAAATATATTTTAATAAAATTCCAACGACAATTTCAATGCATATTTCAATGCTATTATTTCTGTTGGAATAATTCCAACGAAAATTCCAAAAAAAATATTCCGTTGGAATGAATTTTCCATTGGAATTTCCGTTGGATTTTGACGATTCCAACGGTGGTGGAAATAAAAATTCCAACGGAAATTGTATATTCCAACGGAAATTGCTACGGTCAAAAGCCGTTGGAAATATAGCCGTTGGAATCAAATTCCATCTAAAATTCCAATGAAAAATACATTCTAACAGAATATTTCCGTTGGAATCATTCAACAAAAGCTATACCATTAGAATGTCCGTTTGAATTTCCATTGAAATATATTATCATAGAATTTTCCATTGGAATGTAACAATATTTTTGTAGTGACTTGAAAAATACTTATTATCCACAACATTATGTGCTTTTTTCATTTCTATTTCTCCTTTGTCGAGATTTTCAATTTGTTTGCGGCTTTGTGATGGCCGGGTTCTTGCATACCTTTCATATTTTTTTTTAATAATTTTGTAAATATTTTGAATAAAATATATATTAAATTCAAAGTATACTGAAATTTAGATACGTTGAATGTAAGATAATATACGATATGTTAAATATTGAAGGACTCCCTTTCGCCAAGCCGCACCTGCTCTTTAAAAACCTACCCGCCAACTCCTTTTCATCTTCTTAATTATGGCCTCAATCGACAAGCTCAGCGCCTTGCCCGACGAAATCATCTCTCACATCCTCTCTTTTCTCCCCTTCAAAGCCACCGTCTCCACCAGCACCCTCGCCGTGAGATGGAGGCGTCTATGGGCCTATGCCCCTAACATACAACTCACCGGAGATTCAATTTACGAACGCACGAATTTTGTACGCACGCTGAAAAATGTTCTGTTCCAATGTGAAGCACACTTGGCGAACACACTCAGCCTCCCCATGGGCTACTTCAACGAGCATGAAATAGAGTCGTGTCTCGAGAGCGCCTTTGTGTGCGACGTGAAAATTCTCGATCTTATTTTGCCTTATAGGCTCAATATTATGCCCCTTTGCGTCTTCACATCTAAGACCCTAGTTGACCTGAGGATAGAATGTTTGCATGTTGAGATGAAGAAGGGCGATGTGTGAGGCTTCGTCTCGAGTACATAGACGTTCTTGGTTGCTCAATTGAAAGCCTGATTTCTGGCTGTCCCGTGCTTGAAGATCTGACTCTTAGTTACTGTCTGCTTGGTGACGGAGAAAATGTGCATTGCGTATCTTCTCCCATTATGAAGAGGTTGGTTCTCCATTGTGACATACCTCGCGCTTTAAGCTATCCTTCCAGGTTGAAGATTGATACTCCCGCGCTTGAATATCTTGTGTTACGTTATATTGAGCCAAATAATATCTCGATTGGCATCGGGTCCTCCACTCCCTACAGACGCATTCTTTATCCTGACGACATTCCTATCCGCCTCCGCACCCTTATACGGATGGACCAGATGGGATACCCTTCATTCAGATGGGATACCCTTCATTCAGATATGAAATTGTGTGTAAAAGTTGATTCGAGCCTCATGCATTGCGAAATAGAGATGGGTAGGGCCGCCGTTGCGAAGTTGATTCCACTATGAGGAGGTGTGTGTTGAATTGAGTCTCGTTGTATGCTGTTTAGGAAAGATTCTTCCAGTGCCGCCTTTGATTGAATCAGATACTTGACCCTGATTGTATCAAGCTGACAATAAAATATTTTGAAAATATTTTGAATTGAGTCTCGTTGTATGCCTTTGTTTTCTTTTTTCTTTTTATAATAATTTTGAAAATATTTTGAATAAAATATATATTTAACTCAAAATATACTGAAATTGAAATACGTTGAATATGAGATATTGACAAAAAAAAAAAAAACTATGATTTTAAAACTTTTCTTTTCATTTTAGAAATATAGGTATTGAATTTTTATTAGTACCTTAAGCATCTACAATGCATTGAGTCTAGTCTTGCCTATGTGCCATGTGCATCTATCCAGTCTTGGTGGCATGTAAATAAACTCAAATCTTGGATGATATGGATAAAACTATGTAAAATTAACAAAATCACTTTCAATTCAAAGAGACTAGGTCTCTAATTGGGTCTAAAATAGATTTAAGGGTAGCTAAGTCTCTTTTTCTGATTGCCACATCAGCAGCACCCCATCTATATTTATTTGCATTCGAGAATATATTTATTTAGACTGAGTCTATTTCTTACGTGTGATATACTTATTTGTGGTTGAACCGTGGATATTCTCAATACTCTACTGTATCTACACACATTATATGATAACTTTAAAATTTGAAGGACTCCCTTTGGCCATCCATCTTCAACCTTGAGCCGCACCTGCTCTTCAAAACCCTACCCGCCAACTCCCTTTCATCCTCTTATCAATTATGCTCAACGCCTTGCCGGACGAAATCCTCTCTCAAATCCTCTCTTTTCTCCCGTTCAAAACATCCGTCTCCACCAGCACCCTCGCCGTAAGATGGAGACGTCTATGGACCTATGCGCCTAACATACAACTCACCGGAGATTCCATCCCCTGCTCAATTTCCGAACGCACGAAATTCGTACGCACGCTGACAATTATTCTGTCCCAATGTGAAACACACGGCGTGAACACACTTCGCCTCCCTATGGGCTACTTCAACAAGCATGAACTTGAGTCGTGTCTCGAGAGCGCCTTTGCTTGCAACGTGAAATTTCTCCATCTTACTTTGCCATATGCCCTCAATATTATACCCCCTTGCGTCTTCACATCTAAGACCCTTGTTGAACTGAGGATCAAAAACTTGCATATTGAGATGAAGAATGGCGTCGTTTGTTTACCCGCCCTTAAGAGGCTTTGTCTCGACTATGTAGACTTTCGGCTTGGTTGCTCCCTCGAAAGCATGATTTCTGGCTGTCCCGTGCTTGAAGATTTCACTCTTGGTTACTGTCTGCTTGGTGACAGCGAAATTGAGGGATGCCATTGCATATCTTCTCCCATTATGAAGAGGTTGGTTCTCCATTGTGGCTTAACTCCCACTTCCAGGTTGAAGATTGATACTCCCGCACTTGAATATGTTGTGTTACGTTTTAATAAGCCCTATAATATCTCGATTGGGTCGATGGCATCCTTGATTGAAGCAGACATTTTTGTTTTTTGCCTCAATTTTGGTGCTCGTTCTCTGGTGGAACTCCTTGGTAGGTTCTCTAATGTAAAAGATATGAAACTAAGCATTTTGGGGAAGGTAAACTTATCATTCCCCATCACTTTATTTTTCTTTTTTCTTCTTTTTTTCTTTTTTTTTTTTTTTTTTTTTTTTCTTTTTTTGTAATATTTGTTTCGCTACAGGTTCGTGACATAACACCTGCTGATTTGAACATAAATTTTCACAATTTAGCCAAACTCACGGTGGGAGGTGATTGCCGTTTCATCTCATATTTTGTGGAGAAGGCTAACAAGCTTGAAGTCCTGAATGTTAGTTTGATTCTTTTTTCCTTTCAACTTGTTTGGTTATATGTGAGTGACGGTCCGGCCTTGTTCTGCATTTGTTTTCTTTCTGTTTCATCATCAGGTCAAGCAATGTCTAGAACCGCAATGCGAGATGGAACTCCTCCAGTTGCCTATAACTAATTCAATCATGAAGCTTCACAATTTGACAAAACTCGAACTGCAAGCCATTGGTGGTTCCTCACATATTTGCTAGAGAAGGCTGATAAACTTAAAGTCCTTATCATCCGTACTGTACGCCATTTCCTTTTTATTTCCAATTGATGAGGCCAACTGGTTTCTGGCATTTGTTTACCTTTCTGTTTCATTTTCAGGTTTATAATAAGCATAACCGAAAACGCTGGTTGGCGGTGCACCTCCAAGTGCCTAATTGCCTGTTATCACATCTTAAAATAGTACAAATTCGTGAATTGTACTGTATGGAGAATGAACTCGACATGGTTAGATATCTCTTGAAGAATGCTAAAGTCCTAGAGAGGATGGAACTACACTGCTTCGAGAGGATGGAACAACACTGCTTAGAAGAATCGATTGGGAGAATTTCATCATTTGATCGAGGATCTGAGAAGTGTGAGATTGTCTTCAACTAATATCTTGAATCGGACTGTGACGACTTAGGTTTTTGACATGATCTAAGTATTGTCTCGTCATGCTAACACTCCATGGCTGAGGGTCCTTTCATAAGTATAGTTGACAATTGTCTTCATATATCACTCATTTATTCATATGTTTTATTTGACTAATGTTAATACCCTTTTCTTGTTGCTATTGGTGAATTTTCGTGGAGAATTTCGGTTTGGCTAACAGCTTATGAATGCGCTAATGATAGCCAAACTGTACGATAATGCACGAGTATATTATGTATAGAAAGTATGAGTATGATATTTAATCTTTTTAGGCCTAATAATTCGTTTTATTCATCTATTCGCGGGTAGCCGAGGGACATGAACAAGGTTGGCTTCTTGGGGAGGCAGCTTAGGCCCATGCCTAGGGTCTTCCTATATATTTGGGGCCCCATATATTTTTTTTTTAAATATTATATATTTGTGATGAGTTTGACCCATTATACAAATGAAGTGGCTAATTAATGATAAATATATACTTTGTGTGGAAATTTGATACCCTAAATATTTCATTTGTTTTCTTATGATGTTTGGTTAGAATAATTGTGTGAGAATAAATATTCTTTGCAGTGATATGGTTTTTATTTTCTTCTTCTTGTTTTTCTAATGACTGTTTGAATGTAAATTATTAAAAATATTTGTAACTCATAGGTAATTTCTCAATTCTAAGGTCTAAAAAACAAGAAAAATTATTTTTTTTTCAATTATTTATTTATTTATTTAACTGTCTTTTTTAATTAGTTTTTCTATCTGCAAATAGCCTAATTATCACGCAAGTTCGAATCGAAAAATTTGAAAAGGACAAACTTGTCTGGAGCCTCCAAATTTATGGAGACAGCCTTGAACATGACCTGTCATTTCTGGCATCACATGAGTAATTCTGGCGAAAAATATCTTTATTTAGATCAATTTTAGAAGATATGTGATATATAAATAACTTAAAAACCAGTAAAAGGCCGGGCGAATATCCCCTTCGATTGAAGCAAATATCTTGATTGTATAAATCTGATCGAGGACAATGAGATTTATTGTGGGGCAGAATTTTTGGCTGCTCTCTAATGTAAAATACCTTAAATTGTCAGAATTTTTTTGTTTCATGGTGATGATTTGAAATGCTGGCTGGACCTCCTTCAAGTGCCTGAAAGTCTATCGGCTAATTTGATCGTAAGGTTTTGCAACTTAACCAAACTTTGAACTCTTAGCTCGATGGGGTTTCCTCATATCCACGACGTTATGTGCTTATTTCCTTTTTATTTATCCTTTGTCGAGAATTTCGATTTGTTTGCGGCTTTGTGATGGCCGGATTCTTGCATGCAATTGTTTTTTTTTTCACTATAATTTCAAAAATATTTTGAATAAAATATATATTTAATTCAAAATATATTGAAATTGAGATAGTTGAATATGAGGTATGAGACGTATGACCTCTAAATTACCCTAATCACAACTTTGAAACTAAATATGTATATATAAAAAATCTTTTTTTTTTTATTAATTTTAAAAATTTAGGTCTTGATTTTTTATTAGCACCTTAGTCATTCTCCTACTATATATCAACACATTATATGATATGTTAAATTTCGAAGGACTCCCTTTGGCCATCCATCTTCAACCTTGAGCTGCTCTTCAAAACCCTACCCGCCAACTCCTTTTCATCTTCTTAATTATGGCCTCAATCGACAGGCTCAGCGCCTTGCCCGACGAAATCATCTCTCACATCCTCTCTTTTCTCCGCTTCAGAACCTCCCTCTCCACCAGGACCCTCTCCGCCAGATGGAGGCGTCTATGGGCCTATGCCCCTAACATAGCACACCCCGGAGTTTCCAGCCCGTATACAATTTCCGACCGCACGGAATTTGTACGCACGCTGACAAAGATTCTGTCCCAATGTGAAGCACACGGCGTGAACAGACTTCGCCTCCCTATGGGCCGCTGCAACGAGCATGAACTTGAGGCGTGTCTCGAGAGCGCATTTGCGTGCAACGTGAAAATTCTCGATCTTAAATTGCCTTATGAGCTCCATATTATGCCCCCTTTCGTCTTCACATCTAAGAACCTAGTTGACCTGAGGATCATATATTTGCATATTGAGATGAAGAAGGGCGACGTGTGTTTACCAGCCCTTAAGAGGCTTTATCTCAAGCGCGCAGACCTTCGGCTTGGTTGCTCCCTCGGAAGCCTGATTTCTGGCTGTCCCGTGCTTGAAGATTTGACTCTTGTTAACTGTTATCTTAATGAAGGAGAAAATGTGCCTTGCATATCTTCTCCCACTATGAAGAGGTTGGTTCTCCGTGGTGGCTTAACTTCCACTTCCAGGTTGAAGATTGATACGCCTGATTTGATTGAAGCACTTGTTGATGTTAGGATTTCCAACGATGATCTTTTTTCTCGTTCTCTGGTGGAACTCGTGGGTAGGTTCTCTAATGTAAAACACATGAAATTACGCGCTCGGGGGAAGGTAAACTTATCATTCGTCATCTATTTTTGCTTTCTTTTTCTTTTCCCCTTTTTCTTTTTTGTAATCTTTGTTTCACTGCAGGTTCCTGTCTTAACACCTGTTGATTTGAACATAAAGTTGCACAATTTAACCAAACTCAAGGTGAAAGGTGATTGGCGTTTCATCTCATATTTTGTGGAGAAGGCTAACAAGCTTGAAGTCCTTAATGTTAGTACGATTGTTTTGTCCATATTTTCAACTTGTATAGTTATATGTGATTGATGACCCCCGGCCTTGTTCTGCATTTGTTTTCTTTTTGTTTCATCATCAGGTCAGACAATATTCAGAATGGGAGATGGAAGAAACCCTCCAGTTGCCTATGCCTAATTCAATCATGAAGCTTCACAATTTAACAAAATTCAAAGTAGAAGTCGAGTGGTGGTTTCTCATATATTTGCTAGAGAAGGCTGATAGACTTGAAGTCCTTACTATCCGTAAGGTAAGCATTTCCTTCTTATTTATGATTATATACTTTTTCACATTTTTATGTACTCAGTGATGAGGCCAGTTGTTTTCTAGCATTTGTTTACATTTCTGTTTCATTTTCAGTTTATTCATCAGCATAACGGGTTGGCGCCGCCCTTCCAAGTGCCTAATTGCCTGTCATCACATCTTAAAATAGTACAAATTCATGAATTGAAAGGTACAGAGCATGAACTCGACATGGTTAGATATCTCTTAAAGAATGCTAAAGTCCTCGAGAGGATGGAACTACACTGGTACAAGGGAATGGAACGACACTGCATAGAAGAATCGATCGGGAGAATTTCATCATTTGATCGAGGATCTGAGAAGTGTAAGATTGCGTGCTGTTCAGGAAAGATTCTTACACTGCCCTCTTTGATTGAAGCAAATATTGATGTCGTCGATGATGCAGAAATTTTTGACTTATTTGATTGAAAAATACTTGGGAAGAGTCGGTTAAGAGAGACCTTAAAGATTGGAATATCTCCAAGGATCTAGCGGTGGATAGGAGCGCTTGGAGGCTCGTTATCAACGTGCCGGAACCGTGACTTTTGCTCCTTTCTCTCTCTCTCTCTCTCCCTATCTCTCTTTTTTTTTTGTCGATTTCTTCCTTTTGGTTCGAGTCTTTTTGTGTTTCTCTTGGGTTTCATCTCTAGCCTACCCCGACTTGCTTGGGACTAAAGGCTATGTTGTTGTTGTTGTATTTGATTGAAAAATACTTACTATCCACAATGTTATGTGCTTAGTTCCTTTTTATTTCTCCTTTGACGAGATTTTCATTTTGTTTCCCGCTTTGTGGTGGCCGGGATCTTGCATGCATTTGTTTTTCTTTTGTTTGCATCAACAGATTCGTAACTATCTTAAATGATGAATGGAGCTCCTCTCAGTGCGGAATTAATTGCAGAATATTGCTTCTTAGAATTGTGAAAACTTATGAAGTTGACTCAACAGAGCATGAGCTTAACTTAGTTAGATATTTCTCGAAGAATGCTCAACTAACAAGTCCTTCAAAAGGATGGAATTACGCTTATGAATTTGATGCTAATGCTTGTGTTCGCATGTAGGATGCTTCACACGTTGTACATATAAATGTAAACGTCAAAATTCATGTTGATAAAACCTTCTTATTTTTATTTTTTTTTCCAAACACCACCCAAGAAGGTGGAGGTTAAGGCCGAACTCCCAACCTGTATATAAAAATACCCTAAATGGGCTGAAAAGTCACAAAGCTACAAGTCCAATGTCTGATACATCAAGTCAAACGAAAAATAAAATAAAAAATAAAAGAAAAAAGCAAGAAAAAATACAAAGAAAAGCTGACAACAAAATACAAAGATAACAAATCCTGGTCCGGGAAGAGTCCCGGTGAAAAGGTCAGCATCACAGTGTGGTAGAGGTCCCAAAATGTAAGTCCTACGACTGTCCAAATCTAAACGATGGATATCCAATCTGTTCCATCCGTATAAGGGTGCAGAGGCGTAGAGGAATGTCGTCAGGCTGAAGAATACGCCTCTGTATAGAGGAGGACCCTATGCCAGCAAGGTAATCAGCAGGTCGGTTCCCCTCAAGGAAGATGTGTGAGATCCGATATCTAATCGATCGAAGTATGGCTCTAATACGCATGAGTGGGTGTTGAATCTGCCAAGTGCCCTGATGGTCAGAGGTCAGGAGTGTGACTACAGCAGCAGCGTCCAACTCAATCTAAATATGAGACGATATTGAGGCAGCAATTTGGAGACCGATCTGGAGTGCCTGAATCTCTGCGTCATAGCTCGAGGATGCTCGATGTTGATAAAACTTAACCGAACATTATGTCTTTGTTTAGTTTGTTCAGTTTGAGAAGTGACTGTGAAATTTTATTTCAATAACATTTGTGTTATAGTTGTAATGAGGGCATTATAACATCTCCCCTGCATTGAATTTGTTGTCTTTGAAATACATAGCATGGGAGAAATACGAGAATACACCAATATACATATTGTCGTTCATCCTCTGCAAGACTAAGAAAATTTAAATGAGCTTCTAATCGAGGAGAGTGTATTAGATAGTGCAGTCTTTATATTTTGAGCCGTCTTATCCTGAGAGAACATGGAGAAAAGGAGTAATACTCGTTGTACATGTCGGGGAGTCTGTTTCTTTAAGGCCAACAATTTTCCAATGATTCAGCCATATGGGTTCCATAGCAATATAGAACTGTCAATTAATTTATTATTTCTTATAATAAATTTATTTACTTATCATTAGAAATTTGGTTCCATCTCTGGTTCCCTTGGTTGATGTTTGCGGTTTCTAGTTAGAAATTCTTAGTACGTATATTTATTAAAACTTGTTTTCAATCTGTCGTTCCACATTATTTTCACAACAGAGATTCGTCCGAACAATAAAAATTTTTGTTTGATTGAGGATCTAAAGCATGCATGAGAGCTTGTCTTCAATCGATGTTAATGTGGGATTGGACTATCCTAGTTCTCAGACATGGCTGTGTGTTGATTATCGCTGATAATCTGTAGTTGTTTTCATTCAGAATTGTTGATTTGCTTTATGTCTTTTGATTTTTGAATCATTCGCTTGAGATGTTTATTGTATGGCTTGGTAGTTGATATTTCCTCGTTTTGTTTCTGCTTCCATTTGAGGTTATTTGAAGTGAAATTGTGTGAATATGTTGCCATACCTTTTTTCAGCCTTATTTTTTAACATGTGGTATGTACGTTGACATGTACAAATCGACAACTTGGACTACGGAAATGTACTGTACATACACAGGTGAACTGGTGAACAAACAAAATTTTCAAGTTGAATATATTTTTTAATATATTTTGAGTAAAATATATTTAATTTTTTCTGTTAAAAGTTGAAACTAATAGCCAAGTAAGGGTCGCGTATGTAGACGTGTCCAAAGGCCGGGTTGGCGGGCCTCAAATGCTGGGCCCGTAACCGACCCGACTATATCTAAGAGCCTGTTCAAATGAACCGGCTCGACCCGGCGGTTCATTGAACTACCGTTTTTTAATAATAATAAAAAAAAATACAACCCGTCTTATGACCTGGAATCGACGGATAAAAAATAAATTAATTAAGATCCGGAACTGAATTGGTTTTATCACGGGTCCGGTTTCAAGACCCGTAGTCTAGGGTCGGTTCCGAGGCGATTCGACAGGCTGGGTCGACCCTTTTCACCTCTATACATATGAAATTCATCATTTGTTTTAACTTGAATATGTATATATTTAGATAATGAAATTGAGATAACTTGAATATGGCATTTACCTTGATATTACATCTTAATATCTTATTCAGAAATCGTTGATATTACATCTTATTCAGAAATCGCATGCAATTTATCCTATGCATTAAAAAAATTATATATATATATATATATATATATTCTTAAAATTATCCCTTACACTGAAATCCCAATTCAACCTATGCATTATGAAAAATAATATAATTTTTAAAACTTCAAATAAAAAATTTTCTTTTTAATTTTAAAATTTAAGTCTATCTTTTATTAGCATCCGGTTCAGATTTACAATGAAGTTCTACTACTGTATCTATATGTACATTGTACACACCACATATTATAGGCTAAAGTACACGTGTTTTCTTCTGAAAATAATTCCAAATTAAGTAAACATTTAAACGAATCTCACAACTATTAATAATTCACCTTTTTATTCCAAAACTAGTATGGTACTCGTGCGATGCACGGGCTAGTAATATTAACGGAAGCATTTTGATTTGGATGATGATATCATTGTTCAAAATATAAGATGAATTTATTGGAATAAAAAAATATTATTTATATATTATTAAACACCTCCTTGTGCACAACGTTCTTTGTTTGAGTTTAGTACATTGTTATGTCCACAAATTAAAATCTTCAAACTCTTAGGATTCGTAACGTGTGAAACAACTACATACAGCTGACCGTGACTGGACACCGATTTTTTCAAGAACGTGCCAACATGCTATATCCTTCTTCTTTGACATTGTATCTCCCGTCCTTTTTTTCTTTTTGTATTTGGTATGATATCTCTTAATAAAATATAATAGATTTTTTTTTGAATTTAAATCGGTAGTATATCTTATAATTAGTATGTTGAAATGATTTATAAAGATTGATTGGTATCTATCAGGATTAGTGTTTAAAGCATATGCTATATTTACGTTTAATAATTGTTAATATAAAAAAAAATCTGTTAAGATATAATAATTTGTATATTAAATCAATCGGTAGGTTAAATAAATGAAAGATATAATACGATTTGTTTTGAAAGAAGCAACTCTGATAATCGATTAGTATATAAAAAAAATATGTTAAGATATCAAAAGTGTTCGTCTTTTATTATTATTATTATTATTATTTTGTATTTGATACTGTATCTCTTATTATTTTGTATTTGAATTTGAATTTGAATACTGTATTTGATACTGTATCTCTTAAAAAAATCATCGGATGGCTCCATAGAATTTTTGATATCACAATAGTGGGTTGAGATTATTTTTAAGTATTGATGTGTATCTATCGGGATTAGTGTTTAAAGCATGAATTATATTTACATTGAATAATTGTTGAGATTTAAGAGGAGCCAATGATTTGTAAATAAAAAAATCAAACTTAAAAAAAATACCACACTTACTTCCCAAAATCACTATGAAAAAATAAAATATCACAATGTATATTCGTATGTATGTAAAAAAAAATAGCGTTTTTAACCAAGTTTACTGTGTATAAATCACTTATTTGAAATTGAATACGTTTTTTTGACCTGATTTACAGTTATATATTTTCAGAATCAAAATCAATTTTGAGTTCTATGCAATGTTTCATCCTATCCGATTTTATAGGAAACAAATCATGCGGGAATTTTTTAATTTATGAATGTTCAATTCAAAATTGAATCCGAATTTATGGGAAACAAATCATACGGGAATGAATTTTGACTTTTAAATATTGTAAATTCAAATTTGACTTTATCGACCCAGAGGGTAATTCGAAATCTGTTGCAATTAGAAAAAAATCAGATTTAATAGATAATAGATTTGATTTTATGGTTAACTAATGATAAGAAATTTTATAATTTAAATTTAAAATTCGATATAATACATGTTATATGCAATCAGATCTTTTCGAATAAGTAATGATAAGAAAATTTGAATTCTACAAAAAAACGTGAAACTCAGGCCAATATTACCTAAATAAAATCATGAAATTCTATCAATTTATGGTACATTTAGAGCTGACCAATAAACGTGATTTGATGTGATCAAATCAAATCAGTTCCAAATGAAACTGATTTTTTTGCAAACGACTCTTTTTAAAGAAAAATAAATAAATTTAATAACAGATAAGTCTTATGGGTGAACAAATTTTATCATTCCATAAAATCAGGAATGTTTCGGATGACAATATTACATAAAATATTGAATGTATCGGATGTGACCTTAGATTATCAAATTCTTTTATGTGTTTTAATAAAATTAAAAATGTGACTATCCTACATATTAGGAAACAATACAACTGATCTTAATCAATATTAGGATAATC